CTCCAATCTATGTTTAACACAGAGTTCAGGATAATTACCCTTTGTACGCCCCAACTAGCTCCAATCTATGTTTAACACAGAGTTCAGGATAATTACCCTTTGTATGCCCCAACTAGCTCCAATCTATGTTTAACACAGAGTTCAGGATAATTACCCTTTGCACGCCCCAACTTGCTCCAATCCTCATCAGCATCGCCACATCCTCCTCATTCAGGTGATCCAGTTCATTCTGGATGTGACCAGAGCGGGCTGGGGGAAATCAGATAATGTTCATTCACAAACAGCTCAATCATACCTCTAAAACACTTGAACACTTTTGTAATAATGTTTGCAATGTGATTCTCATGACAATTATCAAATATAAATATATTGTTTTTATGACAGAAAAGAATCAATTGATTTGGGAACAAAAATAAAGCAATGTCAATACATTACTGCTACAAGCCATTAGAGAGGCTGAATGAAACTGCAGAAAGTATCGTGATAAAACTATTTACAGGAAATATGAAATACTGTAGCACTTCAAAACAGCCTAACTAAAGGTAATCTTATTTTTTTTATGTAGGCACTGCAATTGATGTAGAGAAAATTAATCCAGTTTGATGAGCAATGTAATTCACTTGTCAAAATTCATTGAGGGAAATTGAAGAGTATTGATCCTGTGTGCCAGCACCAGTTACCTATATGCTGCACAGTATAGTGTTTCTTCATGATGAAACCAATTTCATAATGAATAAGTTTAGAGAAGCTGCAAACTTTATTAGTTGGTCAGTCCTCAATGAACCCTGGACACAATCAACAGCAATGTTTGACATTGCTCAATGTTTGACAAATGGCAATGAAATGTGAAGTAAAATTGTAGCTTACTTCTGGCTCCAGTAGCCACTGGGACAGGTGCCCTGGCATTTCTCACCCTGGTCCCCCTCATCCTGACAGGACTGTACAGGTTAACCCCTGTGCCGCGGAGAGGGGGAGGTGAGGGGGGTAAAGGAGGAGGTATGACCAGACTGTCTGTTTGGTGGGAGCTGGCAGCAAGAGAGGCAGCATATTCCATGTCCATTTCTTCCTGTTACAAACAGAATACAACAGTTAATTTGTGGAAGCTTATGGTGATATTTACCATATGGGGAAACATTTAATTGCATGCTGCTTGAAAACTCACCATGTTATGAACTTCAAAGAAAAACACCAAAAAAAGTTGTTAACCAAAAATTCTCTTGCATTTTGATCTTTATTTTATTATTATTATTTCTTTGTTTTTGTATCCTATCATACACACTGGATCACAGCTAGTGCATGTTGACTGGAAACAGTGCGTATTGTGTTAGATGTGATTGGTGATTGTGTTAGTTGAGATTAGTGATTGTGTTAGTTGAGATTGGTTAAAGCTACCACCTGGAGTCTTCTGGCCAAGGCTTCATCTGACTCTATCAGATTGATGGTCTCCACTGGGTCTGGAGACAACAAGATCACTTCATCCTCAGCACCTGAATAATATGGTTATTCTTGACTAAATGACTGGTCATATACTACAGTTAAATCTTCAAATACTCTTTTATACTTAATCTCAAAGACACAGTTTTATCATCTTATTTAGAGGCCATGAAAGCTTATTTTTAAAATAAATATTGCACAGTATGAAATGGGACAGACTGTCAGATATAATAGGCCTAAGCTAAACAGATTAAGATGTCTACCTCATTCTGGTATTTCTATATAGATTTAACATAATTTTATAAATTAAACACATAGTGACATAAACACATCTTTTAGAAAGGTTAATCTATGTACCCGGAGTAGGAGAGGTGGTCTGATGTCGTCTACTGCTCATCCCCCTGGCAACAGGAGTTAATGCAGCCCAGATATTCCTGGCAGTGGAAGCCGTTCTCCTCCTCTTTCCCCTCCTCCTCTCCCCAGGGGCAGTGTCCTCACTGGGTGTCTCCAGAGCTATAATATCCAAGTCCTCAGAGGCAGTACTAGCTGTAGGGGGAGGGACTGAGGTAGCTGTGACTGGTGGATTTCTGTTCTGGAGCTCTGGGACAGCAGTGCTGGGGTGACTGGCACCTGTTGTTTGATTTCCCTGATAGATGTCACTACTGGTGCCACTAGTTGTCCTGGGGAGAGAGGCACTGCTAGTGCTCGATGGTAGTTTTCGTTTCTTTAATGGTTTCATATGAGCTGAAGAAGTATTCAGTATACTGTCTTTATTTCTGCTCCTGTTACGTATTTCCATCTCCTCCCTTGCTGACTTAAATTCGTTTTCAGCTTTTCTTACATTAGTGGTTTGCTGCCCTTTTATCCCATTTCTAGGAACACATCTGCTGCCTGGTGTTAATTTCAACAGTCTGCTGCCCTGATGAGTGACTGAACCTAGAGACGTGTCCATGTTTTCTCTTCCAAGCGATTTGGTCAAAGTTGAGCTACTTCCCCTGCTGCTTAGATTTTTATCTGTGTCCTCTTTGCTCACTGCTTCATACCTAGAAGCATTGCTTGACATGGTGGCTGGGAATGCCAGTCTGTGCCTCCTCTGTCCACAGCCTGGCTTAGAACCTTCATTTCTTTGGCTGTCACTTAATCTCTGTGCTGCTTTTTGAGAAGAAGACAATTTAAAATCATCATCATCATCATCATCTTCTTTGTGTTTCTTTGTAGCAGCTTCTGCTCCTGCGCACTTTTGCCTGGCAGCAGTCATGAATTTATTCCACTTGGCACTGTATCTGGTGACATTACTGTGTCTTCCCTCAGTGGGAGATGTTGGCACAGTATCATGGTGTACACTACCAGGTTCTGAGAAGGTTTTAGCATCAGAGAGCCTGTCAGAACAACCTGGGTCTATCTGTTGCTGGTTTGGTGTCATGTCTGCATAGAGTGAGGTATCTGTGTTGGTGACTGAGGAGACGCTAAGACTAGCATGATTTCCCTGGGCACCTTGAGATTGGTAAGTGGACAACATAACAGCATCATCACTGTGGAGTGAGTTACCCTGATAGCATTTGGTGTCTTCTCCACACCTACTGCTCACAGCTACATCATGGTCAGGGGGATTCTTCAGTTCAGGGCTCTTCTTCCTCACTCTATTAGCAAAAGAAGCCAGGGACATGTTGTCTTCCATGCTGTCAGAATCACTGTGCTGTTTGGTAGGGGAGTGGTTACCACAGCCTGGAACCCCCCTCATGTCCAACACATCATCTTTGGTATCCCCAGTACCCACATCACCTCCCTCAGAACACCCACTGGCACCCAGCTGAACACGGTCTATAGAGGGCGCTTCAGCACAAGCCGAGACATGGGCAATATTTGCATTAATACTTTCTATATTGCTTGTCCCCTCTATGCCAACAGCAGTATTATTCTCATCACAGTTAGAAGAATCTTCTTTAATCATTGATCCAGCAGTTGTAGCAAGCCTTGAGTGGCTACCCAGCTCTTGCTCAGGGTGAGTGGTATATAATGTTTGGGCTAGATTTGTACCATTTGTCAATGGAGTCTCTTCCAATTCAGATTCACTTCCAGAACTTGACTGATGCTTTTTGGGCTCCAATTCTTCTTCATCAGAACTGCTTTCACGAGGATTCTTCCTTTTATCTCGCTGAGCTTTAAGGCGAGCCAATGCATCCTTTCTGTTGTCCTTGTTGTATTTTTGGGAGAGGAGTTCTCTTGATATATTGCTCTGGTGTACTCTTCCATTTGGATTTTGCATAGGTTTTGTTAGATAGACTCTCTGAGGCTTAATTTTATTGAACACAGGGCTGAAATAGTAAAAGCAATCAATAAAGAGATTTCCAAACTATTTATGTGGACAGTATGTTACAATAATTTACTGGTGAGGACTCTGTAGAAAAAGGTGAAGACCACCAGACTACTATTTCATAAGTACTTATCATTGTGAGGTACAAATGACATTTACATGTAGTACAAATATTCCAAAATGATATTGTCTGTAAAACAGAATAACCTATCATACAAGACATATTACCTGTTAGCATCACAAAGTTGGTAAGTCTTTAGGCATTCTATCAAGAAAACAGTACAACAAGTAAGATAAGAGTATCTATTCATACTGCTACAGTTAGTTATGATACCTTGGTGTATCAGGGATCACATCCTCCTCGTGGTGTTCTTCTAAGTCCTGTGGGCTACCACTGGCTCCATCTTCTGCCGGTTCTGTCCCCAGGGTGCGGCCAGCTGCCTCATATTTGGACCTGATACGCTGCATCAGGCCTATGTTTAACTGCCACTCATCCATACTGAACCTACACACAATATGATAACATTGGGGAATTAATTCTTTAAAGGAATATTAGACCTGTTCAACTCCCTGTCTCTTCTAGATTAACCAAAATAAAATATAACAAATGGCAAAGGTGTACCTTTATTCAAACAAAACATGTCTGACACAGAACCAGATTACAGAGGACATCTTGACTTGGACATCTGAAAGNATTTAATCTCAAAGACACAGTTTTATCATCTTATTTAGAGGCCATGAAAGCTTATTTTTAAAATAAATATTGCACAGTATGAAATGATACAGACTATCAGATAATATAGGCCTAAGCTAAATAGATTAAGATGTCTACCTCATTCTGGTATTTCTATATAGATTTAACATAATTTTATAAATTAAACACATAGTGACATAAACACATCTTTTAGAAAAGTTAATCTATGTACCCGGAGTAGGAGAGGTGGTCTGATGTCGTCTACTGCTCATCCCCCTGGCAACAGGAGTTAATGCAGCCCAGATATTCCTGGCAGTGGAAGCCGTCCTCCTCCTCTTTCCCCTCCTCCTCTCCCCAGGGGCAGTGTCCTCACTGGGTGTCTCCAGAGCTATAATATCCAAGTCCTCAGAGGCAGTACTTGCTGTAGGGGGAGGGACTGAGGTAGCTGTGACTGGTGGATTTCTGTTCTGGAGCTCTGGGACAGCAGTGCTGGGGTGACTGGCACCTGTTGTTTGATTTCCCTGATAGATGTCACTACTGGTGCCACTAGTTGTCCTGGGGAGAGAGGCACTGCTAGTGCTCGATGGTAGTTTTCGTTTCTTTAATGGTTTCATATGAGCTGAAGAAGCATTCAGTATACTGTCTTTATTTCTGCTCCTGTTACGTATTTCCATCTCCTCCCTTGCTGACTTAAATTCGTTTTCAGCTTTTCTTACATTAGTGGTTTGCTGCCCTTTTATCCCATTTCTAGGAACACATCTGCTGCCTGGTGTTAATTTCAACAGTCTGCTGCCCTGATGAGTGACTGAACCTAGAGACGTGTCCATGTTTTCTCTTCCAAGCGATTTGGTCAAAGTTGAGCTACTTCCCCTGCTGCTTAGATTTTTATCTGTGTCCTCTTTGCTCACTGCTTCATACCTAGAAGCATTGCTTGACATGGTGGCTGGGAATGCCAGTCTGTGCCTCCTCTGTCCACAGCCTGGCTTAGAACCTTCATTTCTTTGGCTGTCACTTAATCTCTGTGCTGCTTTTTGAGAAGAAGACAATTTAAAATCATCATCATCATCATCATCTTCTTCGTGTTTCTTTGTAGCAGCTTCTGCTCCTGCGCACTTTTGCCTGGCAGCAGTCATGAATTTATTCCACTTGGCACTGTATCTGGTGACATTACTGTGTCTCCCCTCAGTGGGAGATATCAGCACAGTATCATGGTGTACACTACCAGGTTCTGAGAAGGTTTTAGCATCAGAGAGCCTGTCAGAACAACCTGGGTCTATCTGTTGCTGGTTTGGTGTCATGTCTGCATAGAGTGAGGTATCTGTGTTGGTGACTGAGGAGACGCTAAGACTAGCATGATTTCCCTGGGCACCTTGAGATTGGTAAGTGGACAACATAACAGCATCATCACTGTGGAGTGAGTTACCCTGATAGCATTTGGTGTCTTCTCCACACCTACTGCTCACAGCTACATCATGGTCAGGGGGATTCTTCAGTTCAGGGCTCTTCTTCCTCACTCTATTAGCAAAAGAAGCCAGGGACATGTTGTCTTCCATGCTGTCAGAATCACTGTGCTGTTTGGTAGGGGAGTGGTTACCACAGCCTGGAACCCCCTTCATGTCCAACACGTCATCTTTGGTATCCCCAGTACCCACATCACCTCCCTCAGAGCACCCACTGGCACCCAGCTGAACATGGTCTATAGAGGGCGCTTCAGCACATGCCGAGACATGGGCAATATTTGCATTAATACTTTCCATAATGCTTGCCCCCTTTACGCCAACAGCAGTATTTTTTCCATCACAGCTAGCAGAATCTTCTTTAATCATTGATCCAGCAGTTGTAGCAAGCCTTGAGTGGCTACCCAGCTCTTGCTCAGGGTGAGTGGTATATAATGTTTGGGCTAGATTTGTACCATTTGTCAATGGAGTCTCTTCCAATTCAGATTCACTTCCAGAACTTGACTGATGCTTTTTGGGCTCCAATTCTTCTTCATCAGAACTGCTTTCACGAGGATTCTTCCTTTTATCTCGCTGTGCTTTAAGGCGAGCCAATGCATCCTTTCTGTTGTCCTTGTTGTATTTTTGGGAGAGGAGTTCTCTTGATATATTGCTCTGGTGTACTCTTCCATTTGGATTTTGCATAGGTTTTGTTAGATAGACTCTTTGAGGCTTAATTTTATTGAACACAGGGCTGAAATAGTAAAAGCAATCAATAAAGAGATTTCCAAACTATTTATGTGGACAGTATGTTACAATAATTTACTGGTCAGGACTCTGTATATAGAAAACGGTGAAGACCACCAGACTACTATTTCATAAGTATCATTGTGAGGTACAAATGACATTTACATATAGTACGAACATTCCAAAATGATATTATCCGTAAAACAGAATAACCTATCATATATGATATATTACCTGTGAACATCACACAGTTGGTAAGTCTTATTAAGGGATTCTATCAAGAAAACAGTACAACAAGTAAGATAAGAGTATCTATTCATACTGCTACAGTTAGTTATGATACCTTGGTGTATCAGGGATCACATCCTCCTCGTGGTGTTCTTCTAAGTCCTGTGGGCTACCACTGGCTCCATCTTCTGCCAGTTCTGTCCCCAGGGTGCGGCCAGCTGCCTCATATTTGGACCTGATACGCTGCATCAGGCCTATGTTTAACTGCCACTCATCCATACTGAACCTACACAAAATATGATAACATTGGGGAATTAATTCTTTAAAGGAATATTAGACCTGTTCAACTCCCTGTCTCTTCTAGATTAACCAAAATAAAATATAACAAATGGCAAAGGTGTACCTTTATTCAAACAAAACATGTCAGAACCAGATTACAGAGGACACCTTGACTTGGACATCTGAAAGCCCAAGATGTAAAATTCTACAGCTGATTCAAACAGGGAGATATTTCGTAATTTTTCCTCACAGAAATGTTTTGTCTTGATGTCCAGGACTTGATGCTAGTGAAAATTTGTAATGTAAAATTTATCTCCGTAATGAGTGTTATCTAGAGTCCACATCTTTGACCTTACACAAAGGACCTGGCTCGTGTGATTCATATTTTCATTTAAAAAGAATTATATTCACATGGACTACAGAAATATGAAAATAGATTTCACATTTAAAATGATTAAGTAAAAAAAAAGTATATCTCGATCTACGGTATTTATCAAAAATATTTATTTAGCGACAAGGTCGTGTATTATTTATATTATCTAACATTAATTACTGGTGAGAAGTAAACCAATCTAAGCGCTTTTCTTTACTATATAAATAGACAATAAATACAACTACGAGATCAACCATAAAATATCCACTCAAAAACTTGATTTACCTCAAAATCTTTAAACTTCTTTGCTATTTATAACAGCATTTGCGCCATTTGCATCAGCTGTGTTTAGCCGATGACCAGGTCTTCAGATTATGGAGGTAGGAAATGTGAGCAATTGTGCCGTGGTTGAGACAGACTCCAAGGCACCTCTACCACAATCAAATGTTTGTTTTCTAACCAATTCATTACATATATCGTCTTTTTAGTACGTTTTTAAATGGATGAACAATAAAAAAAATAAATAAGATTTTTTATGGATTTTGATTTTTTTTGTAGATTAAAACGAATAAAGTAAAGGCAGAAACATTTTATAGTGAGCCAGATTGCTCAGATAATTTCATTTTATGGGCTATGATAAAAAGGCAAAAAAAAAAAAAATGTTAAAACTCAACATTAATTTTAAAACAGTTAATATATATTAACTCTGTGCAAAATGTGGTTATACAGGATTCAAATATATCCATATGTATAAATAATGATTTGCAAAATATTCACATGTAAATTTATAATTAAAAATGCACAAAATATCAATAATAAACTATTAACAATTTTCTATAATAAATTCCAATAAAATCGAATGGTAATAAACATTAACAACAATCTATGAGTTAAAGGTTACATCACATTTTCACTGTAACAAACCAAATGAGGCTGAACCATATATTCCTCAGAAAATTGTATGTACTCTAGATTCCCATACATACATATTCATGTAATATTATCACAATAAATTTAAAAACAAACATCATTAAATCATTTATTTAGAGCGCAGTTCAGTTCTGTGAATGTTTAGGTTGAAATCGTAAGTGTAGTGGTTGTACTTTCTGCTTCCTGGATAGTCCTATCCTCAGTGGTTTTCTACAAGTAGGGAGTGGCAGTATACTGGGGAGACTGTCCTCTGGCACTAGAACAAAATTATTAATATATACTGTAGGTTCACAATTTTAACAGGATATCTGCATGAATGGACAAAACAAGTCTGCTGTTTACTTTTGACATTTTTTATTCATTCTGATTCAACATTAAATCAATATATTGTGCTGAAATTGTTTACGTGATTAAATTAGTTTTCATTTAAGATACTTTGTGTAAATTAATCATACCTTTCAATTTAACTACAGAACACTAAAAATTACAAAATAGATACATTGGACCATACCAGCATTTTTAACAATCTGCTTTTGCCATCTGAACACAGTATCTTTTGATGGAGAGTTTGTCCCTGAAATAATAAAACAAAGTCTTGCGTTAAGTAATATTTGCAACCAACAGAATAGCACAAAAGAGTCAAAATTTTTTCTAACCCATTTTACAGTGATATTTCACTTAAGGAAATGGACAGGACCAAAATTTCAAAACTCCACTCACCTTGTGATAATGAACTTTGTGGTGTGCTGTCACTGTGTAATACAGGACTGGTAGCTGTGGAAAGGTTCACAGGGCTAACACTTTGATCAAACAGTGCCTTCTTCTCCACTGGGCTACACAGAAGGATATCCATCTCATCTAACAGGTCCAGGTCACAAGAGTAAAGTTTGCTACAACTACCTAGAAATCAGTTTTAAAAATTAATAGTTTCACAACTTACTTCTAATGGTGATATTAAATGAAAATATGATTCACTTCAATAATTTCTGTAGAAGCTAAAACACATTATTACATATATTTAACTTTATGGAAGGTCAAATAAAACAATAAGATTTCTCACCATCATCACTGCTCCCATAGGGTGACCCTGTTTTACTGGCACTGTCATGCATCTCTAACAGATTACAGGAAACACTGAATGTCCCTGTGCATGGTACTAGCTGATCACTGTCATCTGCTTGGCTGTGGTAATGACTGTCATCTGCTTGGCTGTGGCAATGACCGTCATCTGCTTGGTTGTGGTAATGACTGTCATCTGCTTGGTTGTTGCAATGGCTGTCATCTGCTTGGCTGTGGCTATGACTGTCATCTGCTTGACTGTGGTAATGACTGTCATCTGCTTGGTTGTGGTAATGACTGTCATCTGCTTGGCTGTGGCTATGACTGTTATCTGCTTGACTGTGACAATGACTGTCACCTGCTTGGCTATGGCAATGGCTGTCATCTGCTTGGATGTGGCAATGACTGTTATCTGCTTCGATGAGACAATGAATGTCATCTGCTTGGCTGTGACAATGGCTGTCATCCGCTTGGATGTGACTATGAATGTCATCTGCTTGGCTGTGGCAATGGCTGTCATCTGCTTGGCTGTGGCAATGGCTGTCATCTGCTTGGCTGTGGTAATGACTGTCATCTGCTTGGCTGTGGCAATGACCGTCATCTGCTTGGTTGTTGCAATGACTGTCATCTGCTTGGTTGTTGCAATGGCTGTCATCTGCTTGGCTGTGGCTATGACTGTCATCTGCTTGACTGTGGTAATGACTGTCATCTGCTTGGTTGTGGTAATGACTGTCATCTGCTTGGCTGTGGCTATGACTGTTATCTGCTTGACTGTGACAATGACTGTCACCTGCTTGGCTATGGCAATGGCTGTCATCTGCTTGGATGTGGCAATGACTGTTATCTGCTTCGATGAGACAATGAATGTCATCTGCTTGGCTGTGACAATGGCTGTCATCCGCTTGGATGTGACTATGAATGTCATCTGCTTGGCTGTGGCAATGGCTGTCATCTGCTTGGATGTGGCAATGACCGTCATCTATATGGTTGTGGCAATGTCTGTCATATGCTTCAGGGCGAAAATCACACTCGTTCTTGTGAATGTGACTATCACTGACTTCTGTTATAATGGGAAAATCACTCTTGTCTTCTTGGATTTGGCTATCACTGTTTTCTGTTACATGTATAATGGAAAAATGACTCTTGTCCTCTGGGATATGACTATCACTGGCTACTGCTTCAGTGGGAAAATAACTCTTGTCTTCTTGGATGTGACTCTCACTGTCTCCTGTTATAATGGGACAATCATTCTGGTCTTCTTGGATGTTGCTATCATTGTTTTCTGCTATAATGCAAAAAGGACTCTTGTTCTCTTGGATTTGTCTTTCACTGTCTTCTGCTGCAATGGGAAAGTCACCTTTGGATTCTGACTTATGACATAAGTATTGGTGGACAAAAAGATCAGTTGCTTCCATCTTTGGCACTTTACTATCAGGCGTTTCACTTTCTCTGTCAAAAGTCACAGCTTTTCTTTTCAAGCAATTCATGTTACTTTCCTGTTGTACTACATGCTTACTAAACATTGAGATGCTGTCAACTGCCGTTTGGCTTTCCTTCTCTTTGCCTTGGCAATTGTTTTCTATACAGATACAATTCAAAATGTCAGAAATGACTTCCTTGGCCTGCATTTCTACACTCTCCTTGCTTTCACTTTGGTAAATCAATCCTTTCTGTGAATCCAAGTGGGATACTTTTTTGTTCTTTGGTGACAATTCTGACTGCTTGGCCATGTCCAAGGGATTCTCAAAAGGTTGTACCAGTATATTAGCATGTGTTCCAACAATTATTGGCAATGATTTTGATGAACCACCTGATATTGTTTCTTCTGATAAGTGCTCTTCTGTATTCTCATTGTTGTGCTCATTTTGTATGTCAGCCATTATATAGTCTTCTTCTACAACATCTAGGATGCCTGAATTCTCTTTAATAGCAGTGTCCTCAATTAAGCCTTGACGTTCCGGAAAATTTTGACAAATGTTTTTCTCTGTGCACAAATAATCAGAAAACCTCTGCGGAGAAAGGCTGTCATTTACTGAATGTGCTACATGGTTGTCTTTTCCCAAGACAACATTAGACATTTGCAGACTTATATCTTTAAATGTGTCACCCAGATGAATGTACACCTTGTCCCTGCCACATTGTTCAGACCCATTTTTCTCATCATCTGAACATGGGACAACCTGCTCCCGAAGGTGTTCATTTATATCTCCCTTTTCTCCTCCATCAACAGATGTTAATTTGTGGAGCATCTTGCCTGCTGCATTCCATTTTACAGAAGAGCACTCTTCTTCAAATATATCAGAAGCATCCTGGGTGCTTTGAGAGCTATCTGGTGATGACAATATGTGGATTCTTGTCAAAGGGGATGAAAAGTGAACATGGTGACCATCATTTGTATAGGAACTACTTTTGATGATAGAGTCTTGATGCAGACAACTTTTGGAGTTTTGACTAGGAGTACTCTCTTCATGCTCAGCTGTAAGTGAATGCTGAAAGTGGTCAGAACTGGTGAAGAAAGCGCCAACTGAGTCTGAGGGCACTGCAGTCACAGGATCAAAATCCATGTTAATCATACTCACTGTCTTTTAAATCACCATTCAAGTTTTTCTGAAAAAAACAAAAGAGTATAAAATTGTCAAATAATAGAGATAAAAATGCCTCAATCATAAGAGTTTAATATTTTTAACAAATAAAATCACGATAACAACTAAGACATACCAATCTTTATCTATGGAGCTACTCCGAGGCCCAATGGGTAATATTACTTAGCGAGCTTCTATTGAAAATTTGAACAACTCAGAAAATCTGAATGCTAATTTTTTTGATAGATACTTTCAGCGACACTTTTGGAATCTGTTGGCCATTGAAGTTCAATAATGAGCCTCCGAACAAACATAGAAAATTTTCGGATAGACGGATCCATCAAAACAGCAGACGATCATTTTTCTCATTTCTAGTCACCTTGATGATCCATTTAATATAAAGTCGTGATTAATAATTCTAACACATGTATGCTTATTAAGGAACCGCTGTTTGGTTTTAAATCAAAAGTAAAAGTAACGTAGTGTACAGACCAGCGAAAATAGTACTGAAATTTGAGGCTTCAGCAGTGCTTCCAGCGTTGCTCTCAATGTTTTCCCTTTTTCAATTCAAGAGAAGAGCAATTCAAAGTTTGGAGTACGTCTCCATTAAATGATGGAAGAAAATTAAAATTCTGATCGATTAAATTGATTATACAAAAATATCCTGACACTGGGTAGCTATCAGTTTCGAAAATAAAGTATTTTACCAATATATTCTCTTGAACTGCGGGGATTGTGGGATCGCTCACCACAACCCGGAAATAGGTCAAATTTGGCATCGGGAAGGAAGCGCCTGTGACAACTGCCAGCCAGCGTGAGCGTGGCCTGCGTTTATTGCGGCTGCAGCGTTAAATAGTAACACATTGTTTAGGTAACTAACATTTTGCATGTCCATGTTTTAGTTTTCTTCTACCCGTGTGCTTTCTTTGGTGTGTTTATAAGAGTAAGGAGTTAAGTTGAACTTGGGTCAGATGTCGAAAAGTTCAAGTTGTGTTATTTGTTATTAGAAATTCACTGTGTTTAAAACTGAGCTTTTCGTTAACTTCGTTTTTGACTTGGATGTCGGAATTGTAAATAATACAACAATTCAAGGCGGTTGATATTTGTCTTAGGATTTGAAATCCAGTAAAACTACCAGTTCCTTTAGTATGCTAGTTTGATAACTTTGCCAGTGTCATTGCCACATTGGTTTTAATATTAACTAAAGTTATTAATAAAATGATTTGTCATTAGCACAGTTTTTTTCAAGATATTTGATATCTGTATTGTAACATCATGTGATGACTTGTTGTGTCGGTACACTGCATCAGTGTTACCATTCTGTAATCCAGAAGATTTCATGTACAACTTGAACAAATTAGATACTGTATGATTATAAGAATGATGCAACAAATCATGTATTTAAATTTCAACTGGAAACATGTTTATTAACTTTAATTACATTGACAAATGACTGACTGCAGTTTTCTCATTTTTGAATGGTTGGTAAATTGATTTGAAAGATGTATAGTGCATAGTTTCTGTGGGAAACAGTAAGTCAATCTGCAAATTTTCCTGGGGGAAACAATATTATTTTTCTCCAACCAACCAACCTTTTATCCTACTGTCCAGATACTCACCATATCTCTAACAACCTTGGTAAATTTAAAAATCCCCATGCTTAAGAATTCGTTTTACAAATCCCACTATCCCGATATACTTGTGCCGACTTCTGGATTGTGCATGATGTAAAACTGGGATAAGATGGTTGATTGTCCACATGGAATTTTTTTAACAATATCAATCCCTGGCACACATCATTTAAAATGTGTTGAAAAGTATCTTATTGTTACATAAGTTGAAGAAGAAGTTTTTTATGTACTTAATGTGTATTTAAAACCCTATGCTTGTGTTACAACAGGAGGCCAAGATCCAGAGAAAGGGTGCAAGTGGTTTTCATAGGGGGAGGGGGGAGTAAGCATTGAGAAGTGTTCAAAGAATTTTGATTCCTAGCTATTGCTATATGTAGCTATAAAACATAAAGGTATGAAGTTAAACCCAATGTTCATTTTGTAAATTAGATAATAGTTTGTGCTGTATATATGATTATTGTATGCATTCATGGAATTTAGTTTTAAAGAACTCTGTCAGCTGTGTATATCAGTCCATTATTTTATAAAGATTAGAACAATAAAAGCTGTCATTCATCTTAATTTTTGTGACTTTAATGTGGCTATACTAAGCTAAGCTATGCTAAGCCAGCTTTATAAATTTAATGTTCTGTGAACATCCTGAAATAACTTGCTAGATGTGAGAATAGTCACCAAAGAGGACAATCACTAAAAAAAACATGGTAAAGTGTTGTATTTTGATTAAATATAGCGTTTTCTGACATTAAGAATCTGGAATTTACAAATTTTGATACTATTTATTTAAACACTGTTTCCTTTTTTTGCAAAATAAATATAAATAAATAAATAACTAAGATAAGTAAATAAATACATAAATAAATAAATAAATTTTAAAAAAATCTAAGAGGTATCAACTGTACTATTTTATGGTCAAGGGCTTTATGAATTTGCATTTGAAAACTATCTAGCATTTGATAAAACCAAAATAATGCAGCAGAAATGGTTTGCATGTAAGGTATTATCCAATATATTTTTATTATAGTTTCATGTTTTAAATTCTAATAAGATTTATATTGTTTTTGTTCAGAGTGGATCAACATTTTAACACAATATTTAACCTAAATCTACAATATCCGACAGTGAATTCTATGAATTAATGTGTGTGCACTGCCTTAATAAGCCTGGTTGTTTGCTCAAATTATTGGATTTTCTATGGGATTATTCATAGCCCACAAAGAGCCATTTGTTTGGGTAATCCTCCACACTGTTAAAAGAAACATATTAAATACTGCCTTTGTTTTAGGGCATTAAATTACGTGGTAAATGGCACCATTTTGATGAATATTTGATAACAGCACAAGAAGGAATCGATTATCTAATCATTATAGTATTTGCTACAGTGTAGGATTTTTCTACACCAAAGTATAAATTCATTGGAAAGTGAGATTTAAACCCTTGACATTGAAAGGTTACTACTATTATCATTATTATCATTATTATTATTATTATTATTATTATTATTTCAATTTAGGTGAAATGAAACTTTGTAACTTTGTTCATATTATTGGAATCTTGACTAAAGATAAATAATTTGTAAAATTGGTATGAAATTTTATTGCTTTTTGTTGATGTGAAATACTAAAACAACACTGGTCCTTACGCAGATGTGTTTTAATGTATTAAAGCTGGTTTCATGGCTTAAGTTGATAAAGTTTGACATTTTTCTATTGACCAGACTGATAATCCAATATAAAACAATAGATCAGTAGCTTGCTGTAATACATCATGCAGAGCAGCCTTTATCTTCTCTCCCAGAGCTTTCACTGCCTACTAGTAACTGAGCATTTATATGAGGATATTTGTATTCATACTAACATAATATGTAAGTATGCAGGGATAAATACATGCTTATCTGATGGTTTGTTTTAGTAATGGGATAAAGGTGCATCAATTGGGATGAAGGATTTTATTATTTATTCAAATCTTAGCTTTAATTAGATATTCTCAAATGAAACTTTTACAGAATCCTTAATGATATACTGCTATGTAGGTTTGCTTGTTGTTTTGTTTTGTATTATGGTTAATTCAAATTAATTGATTAATTATTTTGTTGGACAATATATCCCTCTCATAATATCATTAGGAATAGGAAAAGAACGTTAGGGGAAAAAGTCGTGTATTTTCCAGATATTTAATCTGCATGTCATTTTTCCATTACTGCATTAGATTCTCATTTAAGAAGGTCGTATAGATTGCACATATTCCGTTGTACAGGAAATTTTCTAATTTCTGAAGTCAATTAGTGTAGAAGTGAACATCTGTGACATGCTTGATGATGCTAATTTCCATTTTCATAGGAAGTGTTTGATGAGAACGTTGTTTGAAGTGTCTGCTCAGAGAGTGATGGGGAGTTTTAGTTGTAGTGTAGAGTACACGTCATGCACACTGTATGTATTGTAGTATACAAATATAATAACTCAGAATGGAGAAAAAACTTATCTGTTCATTTTCATCAGAGTTTTTATTGTAGGTAGGAAGTTTAATGCATTTTTTGTTTCATTGGAATTTTAAAATCTGGCATTTACAGTATCTCAAGATCTCTATCTCTGATGTGCATATTGATTAATATTGAGTTTATATATACTGGTATATCTAATTAAAGTGCACATAAGGTCATGGTTTGTTAAGGAAATTAACCCTCTCTCAAGGTTGCTGAAGCATGTTTTCTCCTTGAATTAATACTTCTACCAGTACAAATCCACAGTGGTGCAAGCATTAGAAATGTTTTCTATTGTACAGATAGCAGTACAAGTAGTCCACGATATATGTACATATAAAGATATTGGTTTCATTCATTCTCTATGTAGCATCTGACTGATTTATATTCAAGTGGTTAATGGATTTCCAATATGCAGCCAATAACTAATCCCATTAAGTAGTCTTAGTTTATTTTCCACTATGATTCTATATTTGGGGCTGATGTTGTATTTCCAGAACCTCTTGGTGACCTGACCTATGACCCTCAGATGGGGAACCTACTGAAGCTTCTCTCCAAGGATTACACCCCAACCAAAGTTGACATTTTTGTGGATTTTGAAAGTAAGCCGAATTCATGTCAAGATGGTAGATAAGCCGGTATTTATGAAGGCTGTTATTAAAACACAAAGATATCACATTTTCTTTGCATATCGGTAAGTTTATCCTTGAGTCAATACGAGATGTTCCAGATTTAGATTTTGAAAAAGATCACGTGTATCTTTGTCAGCTACTTCCCATCTTGTTATCTGTGTAGTGTGGCTAAAGGTAAAAAAATGATTAAAGAAATGAAACACATATAATGTATAATAATATAATGGGTATATTAAAATCCTGTAAACAGAAAAAGACTAAATTATATTGTAACAATCAAACTTTATTGAACATGGATTTTCTAGATTGGTTTGAACACTTTGACAAATATTGAGATAGAGGCAAAGGCATAATAGCACAGAGTTCTTGGAGGCAGATATATTTCCTGTTATTTTACTAAACCTGCTTATTTCCAGTGCACAGTTCAAGGCACTCCAGGTCAAAGAGATAGGAACATATATTAAAATGATTTGGCAGCTGTTTCAACAGTTGAATATGGGGAATGGCACTGTGAATGAATAACTTCTAGATATTTATGATGAATTGTTTGAATATATATAATTTTCTGAAAAGAAGAGAAAGACAACTGGAACAAGTAGGACACGTTTCCTTCTGAGATATTTTTTTCATGGCACATGCAAACAAAAACACAATTTAGATCCCTCTGTGCAAGTATTTAATGTAGAACCTGTCAAATAATTGTCATTCTAACAATTCTGGCTCTGTTCTAGATGCCCAGGCTACAGAGCATGAGTTCCCTCTCTATACCAAAGTAGAAGAAGTGCTGAAAGATGCTTGCCATATCTTGGAGGAACTGCAGCAGTACAGAGGAGCCTCCAGTGAAATACGAGAGGTAGTGTACTGGGGAAAGATAAGATACAAGGCCATCAGACAATGGGCAAATAAACGGTAATAGCTCCATCTTTTCAATGGGAAAATTATGAATTTGACAGACACTGTACTTCAGTCATATCTTCTTGAAATTAGAACACTCTCATAGAGGGGTAGCAACAAAACTGGAAAGCAAGCTACCTTATAGTTGTATTCTGTGTGGTAAAAGCACCACAAATCCTACACAGAAATATCTTTTAATGATTCTCAAGTATTGTATCTGAAAAATTGATAATTTTTCCCCATTTAAAAGATCCGAGTCATTACCGTGCTCTGGTAACAAAGCCTTACTTCAAAGCTGTTTTATGAAGTCTGTGGTGAATGGTGCATGAGGAATCATGAGAAAAAGACAAAAATATTATTTTTTTTAGTCAATCATTTTAGGCTGCATGTGCCTGTAATATGTAGACATGTTCTTTTATGATAGAAATATTGTCGTATTTGTCTCATTGAAATGGGTTCCAAGCTTTCAAACTGTCATATTGAATTCCTGGAAATGCAGTGTTAATTGTAACATACATCAAACAAAATATCTATAAAGGGCTATTTTATGCTCTAACTTAATAAAATCTTCCAAAATCAATAATGTTATACATTCATTCTCTTTAAAAGCCTTCTGAGGAAAGCAATTAGCAAAGTGGCAGGCAAGTTCAGGGTAAAAAAGTGGTTCTTTGTCTACCTCAAACACAATCCTCATAAATATTTGATTGGGATTTTACACCAAGCTTAAACGAAATACCTTAAGAGTTATAATTTACAAAATAGCCAATGTAACCAGTATAAGTAAAAAAGTATACTTCAGAATTAGTCCAACAGATAAATTCTTGAATACATCTTGAAAACACTAGACCTGTGTGACCTTGTGTCACTCAAAATGAAAGTAACATTCCAAGTTGTTCAGTGTGTTAAAGACTTAACAGTGTAACCAGTTTAAACTAATTATCTGACTTAATGGGGTCTGTAGTCAGTTCTAACTTGATTGTATATTCAGTTCTTACCAGGTATCTGTCCTGATGGTGTAGTCAATTCTAAACAGATATCTGACTTAATGGTGTAGTAAGTTTTAACCAGGTATCTGACTTAATGGTGTAGTAAGTTTTAACCAGGTATCTGACTTAATGGTGTAGTAAGTTTTAACCAGGTATCCAACTTAATGGTGTAGTCAGCTTGTATCACAGGGGCAGATTGAGGCCGTCTTCTGGGTCTTCCGGAAGACAGTCAGATTTTCAAGTTTACACTGACGGGTATCTATTTTTTCTGTTGGAAGACAGTCAAAAATGGATGATAGATAAAAAAAAATAATTTAGAAGACTGTCAGAAAAAATCTCTGGATCCGCCCCTGTATCATGATGATTCTTTAAATTTAAGGGTGTGTTGCCATTAGAGATGGGTCCACCCTTATTGGTAAAAGCCTTCTCTACAGGCCATTTGATGAAACTAAGATTTCATATTACTGTCAATATTATCTCAGTTTTCTCTGGAGTGGGCTGTGTTTCAGTCATAGCCATGCAAGTGGTCCGAGAAGGGGGGTGGGGGGATTTTGCCGTATGTAATCATAGGTTAATCAGATACCCATAGAGAAGATCAATCTATCTTCAGCGTAAACTGGCCAGTAAAAATTTTAACTGAGAAAAAGATAGCTGCTGATTCAGTATACTTTGGGGAACCACTAGGACATTTCCAATTTATCAGAAGACACATGGTTATCACCTTAAATGAGCCAGCATCTGTCATCTGGTCAAGTGCCTTAAGAGCCAGCAGCTAATCCAGCACTTACATTGTTTAATTTACACATTTAATTTACACGCTAATGCTTACTAGTAAACTGAAGACGAGATTGACTCAGTAGATGTAAGCTGTATGTATGCTGCTGGTTTAATGCACCAGGAAAGTACAGACAGTTTGGTCATATATTATTCCAAAAATAATTCTTGACAATGAATAAAATTACTTTCTCTTTCTGGATATACCTTAAATGTGAACAGGATCTTTGTGTGACATGGAGAAGTGTGAGAGTTTTCCTGAACAAATTGTCTGATTCAGCGCTAACTTCCTATTAATGTGAGAAAGGGGGAATGTAAATTAATTGAAATGTTGAATCCACTAGTGGCATGCAGTGTTAGACCAGGAAGAGAATGCCTGTAAAAAAGATCATCTTTCAAACAGAGTATTCTTATTACAGATTTTCATTATGTCATATCAGCAAATATCCACAGGGTCAAATGCAATAGAACATGGCTTAACAGAAACCTGCCTTGCAAAATGTAATATACTAGAATATTCAAACAAACCCATTTTAACAGATGCAGATATTTTAATTACAATTTTAGGGGCGGATTGAGGCAGTCTTCTGGGTCTTCTGGAAGACGGTCAGATTTTCAAGTTTATATTGACGGGTATCTAATTTTCCTGTCAGAAGATGGTCAAAAATAGAGTAGATCAACAAAGATTGGAAGACTGTCAAAAAATAGCTCTGGATCCGCCCCTGAATTTGTATACATGATGTCATATTTTATGTGCAATTATCTCTGAAAACCTTTTTTACTACAGGCAATTTCCAACCCATCCAATGATGATCTCCAAGAGAAGGCATGGGAAGCCGTCCGGCCACTGGTCCTACAGTTAAAAAGATACTACGAGTTCTCTATACAACTAGGTAAGTGAATTAACAGATGTCATTCGTTGATGTCATTAAACAGGGTAAAGATCAAAGAAAACAAGACCCAGTGACTTGCTGTTGAATTACAGATATAAGTAATCACATTATTTATTTGTGTATATTTAATTAAAGTCCAGTTATATATACATATAAATATATATTTTATGTTTGAATGGAATGAATAACATTGGGCACTGACTTATCTATCCATTTTGAAAACTGTAGTTTGGGAAAAGTTCTATTTTCACTGTATCCTTAAGTCTATCTACTAATGTACATTGATTTTCACATCTAAAATTAAATCAAGCTCAATTTCTGTCAGTAATTTACATCACAGATGTGCCTTAAAAACATTAAAAGTCGGAGTAATTGCCAATTCTGGAAGCTCAAGCTGTAGATATTTATCACATATTTGTCGGATTTAATAATGTAGGTTTTTATTTGATAAACTGCGTAAGTGCTTATGGTTAGTTGAATATTTGACACATAGCAGCATTTAAGTACAACTTGAAATTTTTTTCACTCCCCTTATTCCCTATGTATAAAGGGTGATTTTCACAAAATATTCTTTTGATGATCCTAGAATAAAATCTGGTGGATTGAACCATTCCAAAATGGTGTATTTGGAAAAGTATTTTATGTTCCTCCTTATCTTATGAGCATTATGGCCCTAAGCTTGGAGGGAACGTATTATCTTCCCTAGAATGAGTATGGGTTATTGATTAGGGAATGGACATTCTCTGTATTACTAAACATAACATAGATTCATCAACTAGCAAGAATTGTGACACCAACAAATCATGTTGCCAATGCTTTCTGCACGAATGCACACCAGTGTACAAATAGGTTTTACAGCAAGTTTCTGGGAAAGCCGTCAGTTCACCAGACTGTGACCGCGTTTGTTGCAGAAATGTTGGGAAACAAAGCCTCATCTTCCAGTGGTGTACAATCTAATATCTATTGATTAGACAAGACCACATTTCTGCACAGTTTATTGATGTCATTTATATTGAGAGACTTGGTTATGTTGCACTAGGGAATAAAACTAGGAGCTGAAGTATGGGAGAACTCCTCCTACATTGGATTTCTGGGGATAATGTGGTGTTCTTCGGTGTTTGGGAGATGTGGTTGACCTCTACAGTGATATTAGGCCAGGAAGGTGAAAATAGAAGAACTGTCTGTGAAAAGAATACAAAATTAACAAAATTGCTAGTTTTGACCTCCTAGGAATAAATATCTGCAAAAACAAAAAATTCATTACATTGTGAATAAATCTGATTATTGTTGACAGACCTTAGGGCCCTTTTTCTGAAAAAGTATTTTTTACACCCTTTAATTGACTCAAACCCAAAAAAAAGGCATCAAACCTAGGTCAAATCTTAATGCAGAGCAGATCTTTTCTGACCAGAGTGGTTCTTATTACTTCATTCCTCCTCTCCCTGAACTCTACCTGTCCATGGATCTGGTTGAGAAGACTTTAGTTTTACAAAGCATGAATACAAACAACGAGTTGTATATAAGTCAAAGATTTGTGTAATTGAACCTTCTCTTTTTTCCAGAAAACATTGTTCCTCAACTTCTGGGCAAACTCTGTTCAAATGACAAGACTGCCAAAGAGCATTTAGAGACACAACAAGCTTTATTTAAACAGTTTGCACAAATTTTAGACTTCACGCTTAAATTTGATGACCTTAAGGTAAGAATAAATATAAAATTGTGGGACTTTTCTTGTTAATGAATTCTTTCATGTTAAAGTAGCATAATTTTAAGCGTGTTTTTGTGTAAATAGTGGCATGCTATCTGGATCATAATGTCATTTATGCAAAGCATATTGCAGCATCTCAGTTGATTTCAGATGAACAATCCAGCTATCCAGAATGACTTCAGTTATTACAGGCGGACATTAAGTCGGATGAAGATGACAAACGAGGTGAAACAAAACATTTCATTTCCTAGAAGATAAGCTGTGTCTGTGATAATCAGTGCAGCCACTAATTAATCACCCTGTTTCCTGGTAATGGTTTATGGAAATAAGTACCTAATTTTCTCATGATAATAGATCTTTTCTTGTGTGTTCTAGTTTAGTGATTATCAAGAAAGAGCAATTACAAGTCAGCCAGTACGTCTTCAGGAGTCCGCTTAACTGAATATTAAAAAAAAAAAACAGGATATAATATAGAGGCCAGAAAATGGCCAAATCATTGGACTGGCAAACTTTAAAAAGAGACCACGTAGGCGTTAAAAGAGCCGCACAGGGCTGTTGTGTTCATTTTGTGCCCTGGGATATAACTTTTATATAGTGTGTTAATGGCTAGTATATGTAGAGTCAAGATGGAAAACCTGTGAGTAGAATCTGCTGGATGGTACTGCTTCACTATTTTCTTTGTTCAGGACACTGTACCATCTTGTGGTAATATTGTTATTGCAGTGTGTTAATGTCTTGATTGTCTTCCAGCATTCTTCCAATATGGACAATCAAGAAGTATCCAATGAAATAGCCAACAGAATGTCTCTCTTCTATGCACATGCCACCCCCATGTTGAAGACACTTAGTGACACAACTACCAAGTTTGTGTCTGAGGTAATGGAAGGCAACATCACATTGTACATGTCTTATAATACCTATGCATGAAATTTCCTTTTCATGATAATGTCATTTAGGTACAATAGATGCCGCTTTATGCATTGCCAGTTTGAGACAGTATAACAGTTCTGTGGTTATTTCCTACAATACACACTACAATCCTTAAAGAAACAGCTTAAAGAATATGAAAAAGAATAAAATAAATTTTCAAATTTTGCCTTTTATTCTGTAAATACATACTAAGGTATAAAACTCATAAAGAGTGAGTTGTCCATAATAGTCGAAGTGTGTGTTAACAGTTGCATCATTCTATCATTTCACCTTGTTTAGATGTAGACAAGAATTAATACGTTTGACCAACATGAGAGTGAGTGTCACAGTGTTACTATGCTGTCTATTATAACATTATAGGTGTGTTCCCTGTCTCCTTGTTGTTTCAGAATAAAGATATTCCAGTAGAGAACACCACAGACTGTCTCAGCACAATGGCCAGCATATGTAGAGTCATGATAGAAAACCCGTGAGTACTCTCTGCTGAACCGGTACTACTGCTTCCTTATTTTCTGTGTTCAGGACACTGTACCATCTTGTGGTAATATAATTGTTATAGCTGAAAAGAATTCTAAAGTCTAAAGTGGACGTCATTGTGTTTGGTTGTTTCACTTAGTATTTTGGATCAGCATTGCAGTAGTTGTGATATCTGCATTCCCCAAAGCACTGATGCAATATTCTGATAACTGACTTATTTTTGTGCAGCCTCCTCTCTTTAACCTTCCATGCCCATCTTACAAATCCATACGCTGTTCATATCTCATACAACTGCACTTGCTTCTACTCTTCAGAGAATACTACACACGGTTCCAGAATGAAGAAACTCTGCTGTTTTGTATGCGTGTTATGGTAGGAGTAATCATTCTGTATGATCACGTGCATCCTGTAGGAGCTTTTGCTAAAAATTCACACATTGACGTAAGTTTTTGTTTCTACATTAAGTATGATAGAGATTTTTATTAAGAAAAAACTTACATTAATTATGCACTGTGGCAGTTACATGTCAAAAAGATCAAGATGTTCAACATTTTTAAAGTGATTTGTTAAAATTATATATAAGAAAACAGAAATATAACGATGATCTTTGCCATTGATTGTTTATTAGTGTACTTTGTCCTTTTGTATTACAGGTTAAGAGTTCAATCAAAGTGCTAAAAGACCAGCACCCAGTTAACCTTGAAGCACTATTGAATGCCTTAAGGTAAACCACTATTACCGCTTGCTGTAGACCATTTTCGTACTGTTTATTATAATAATTGGTAAAGAGGTAAATTTGTTTTTCTGTCAGAAAATTGGGCTTCATTTTTTTAAAGCCTAACATAAGATTATTATTTTTAACTTATATTCATCTGTTGTTCTGGCTCATTTGAATTAAGTCTGTGATTGAATTGCTCCCTAATTTCAATTCAGTTTCACACAGAAAAATTCATTAATTGTAGGTATACAACAAAACACTTAAATGATGATGCTACACCAAAAGGAACAAAAACACTTCTGGCGTAACAGGGAGACAGGACTTCTGGGGTAACAGGGAGACGGGCAAGGCAGGGCTGTAGTATAATTCCATGGCAGTTGTGATACAGCAAACATTATTCCTAGTTACCCAGAAGGCACTGAGGATGGTCAGAACTCTTAAGACCACTGATCGCCAGGAGTATTGACCTCGGGTCACTGAAAAGATGACCCTTTATGTCCAGAATCATATCCACCTGAGTTGCAACGATTGTCCCAAACCACCTGTCTCACAGTAAACTTTGTGCACCCTTACTCTGTGTTGTATCCCACTACACTGTTATTGCCTAGGGACTTGTTTTCTGTTTGAACTTCATTTGAAAGTTTGATATATTTAGCTTCTTTTGGGTGTGACAAAGAAATAGTAGGTTCCTTCATTTAAATATGTTCCTCTCTCTTTTCCTCTCTCTACCAGTGTACCACCAACTGGAGTCAAATCTTTGGTTCACAAACTTATAATTTTGACTAAGATTAAAGATGATTCTATCAGGGAATTATATCGTAGATGATATAATTCCCTGCTTCCATGAGGGTCGTCAGTGAATTATCAAGGGACATCACTGTATATATATTTATAGGAACACATTTTTACAGATTCAAACCCAGATACTGAAATCATGAAACTTGCATAGAAATGTAGATACAAATGACCTGGATGTTCTTTATCTGGCAATATACAGTAGCAGCCATGCTTTCCTTTTGCTAGTAGAAATTAAAAATTTGCATCTATAATTGCCAAACCCCCAAGTGCCTGAACAGTTCATTAAGTTATAAACAGCAGCATACTCGTTGTATGTTGATTTTTATGAAATGCTAGTACTGCAATGATTTTTATGTGTTTTGTAGGTAACAATTATGAATTGATGGAAACGCTGTTCATTTCTGTTATAACAGTAACACCTTGATCCACATAACTTGTACATAAAGATATAAATAACACCACTTCAGAAGTGAGGTGCCAAATATTTAATACTTAAGCTGCTACTCATTATACATAAAGTATGAATGCAACCATGAAAGACTGCACCAGTGATTGGGCTTCATAATCCAGAAATCATTGTTTATTTTCAACCAAATGCCCGTGCTTTCCTGTACTGTGATGTTGTATCAGGGTAAGGTAGGGATTCCCCAAGTGCTTTCTATTTTACAGTGGAGCTTTAACTTTATTTAGGACCAATTCCCAATGAAACTATTGTTTTATATAGATCGATCCAACTACGAGGAGACTCTTGCTGAATGCACTCCTGGTGTTGAGTTGAACACAGAAAAGCTGGTGATTGCATGAGTATGTTGGAAACAATAGACGTGTTCTTCAGATTGCTTTCAAGGAGACTCTCTAAGGAACCATTTATGTAGAATGATAGTTTCATGTGGAATGCCTCCTTAGAACTACATATTGTTGTGTTTTCTTCCTACTGTTTTGCTTTTGTGTAACATTAGAATGTTTCTTCTTTTGATCATCTGTTGTTATTTTGTAATTTTAGCTGTGATATTTGATTTATAGGATTAACTTTAGGACAGGTTTAGTATTTTGAAGTTGCTACAGAGGCCTAGACTAACTGAAACAGCCAACATGACTAATTATAGATGAAAATTTACTTTAACATTTCTCGGGTCTTGAAAACAGAGTCCATATATCACCTGAATTATCATTCAGTGCATCTTAGGTTACAGTGGAGCCAGCTCTGCTGATGTTCTTTTTTTTTTTTTTGCGAAGTAAGCGTATAATATATATATCAAAGAAGTATTATGATTTTTTACAGACTGGCATTGATTACTTTGTGTTGTCCTGCCAGGTCTTACACAAAACAATATATATTAAAGCAAGACATAGACATTTGTGTAGCTGTATACATATGTATATAAAACCATATTTGGGGAAATAGTTCACTGTTAATCAAAGCAGAGTGTACATAGAGTTATATGTTGATTTTTATGGCAAGTTATTGTGTTGCTTGCAAGTGAAACATGACCAACCTTATGTTCAGGGAGATGAATATTTAGTTAATAGTTAAAAGTGAGGTTGGGATGGTTTATTTGCTCTTCTGTAGCCTTGATGTACATGTAATGCTTCTGCACTTTTTATATTATTTTGCATTGATTATTAACTACTGGCAGCCATAACCCCAAAAGTTGGGTGGATTATATTATTTCACAGTGCATATATATCTATTATATGATATACTGTTTCTGATGGGGACACACCTGAAAACAATAGGGCATGGTACTAGATTTGCATGATATATATGCATAAATGCTTAGAGTTGCCAACCCTGTGATTTGTTATTTTTATATCCATTTCCTTGCTTTTAAGCATGTTAAAACATGCAGATCCCTGTTACCCATGTCTTTGTCAGGGAATGGTGTCAGTGGAATGGTAATTTAGGCTTAATTCAAGGTGAGCATCTTTATTACAAAGAAAACACATGCTGCAAATTATTATTCATCTGTTATCAAAGCAAGAAAGCAACATCAGGTTAACATATGATGAGTATTGAACATTTTTAAGTTTTGCTTGCTTTTGATTGGTGCGGTGTGCAGTGCAAGTTCTTATATTTGCCACATGTATTATACACATTTCTTGGCATAAGACTGCTTGATCTCTTGTCAAATTTTAATTTATTCTAGTAATGGTAAGTTTTTTGAGGGGAAATAAGATTTATAATTATCTTTTCAATCCAATAATATTTATTTTTGAAAGTATTAACTAGCTTAAATACCAATTATAGAAATACAGAGATTGGCATAATATAAAATTGAAGGGTAAATCATGTGGCTGTCAATAGGGGGCACTTCAGTAGTGCATTAATACATTAATGAAGATGCTTTTTGTAATTGGATATATTTTAGATCGCCTGCTTTAAAAGACTGTGAAATTGAAATGAAATTTTATTTTACATTATCCCCAGATTGTAGTAGACAGTATGTGAAGATTAAATCCAAGAGTGAACAATAAAAAACACAACTGTGGAATTTGTTCTCATATTTTATTCTTCAGACGTAGTGAACCATAACCTCATGGTTCCTAGGTCATGCACTATAAAACCCAGGTTTTTCCCACAGAACAAATATTAAAACTAGATTAACAGTTTTTAAGCTCTTTTTCCGATTGTTGTGATTTGGAGTATTAAGCTATAAAGGTATGCCTAGGGGTGTGTGTACAGGCAATACTTCACACCATTCGGCCTTTACCATCGGTCAATTCAGGGGAAGTGCTGGTTCGTTTGCAGCGTTCTGCTTTAAAAAACGAGCAATTGTGGTCAATAACCACCGTACTTCTGGCTAAAATTACAATCAAATCTCGACATAAGAGTACCACGTTGACATAACACCACATCTCATTACCGTGGTCTCATGTTTTCTATCCAACTTTCACAGTTGATATCTATACAACATTCTTTTCCCGGGGGAGGTTGTTGCTGTTGCAAGTTAAGCGTTTGATTTCATTTGTTTTCCTTGCTCTTTCGGAGACTAAATTACTTAAGAAAATTCAGGTTATTTAATTTTCCGGCTTTATATGGAACCGTTGACCATAAAATAGATGTTGAAAGTCGCTCTAGTGGATGTTTTTAATGAGGCATTATCCTATGCTGACCTGTCAGAATTAAATCTGTTTATTTTTTCAAATTGTATCGGAGAGGGTCACCCTTGGTGAATTTGAAGTCAGGCAAGGTGGTCACCTTTTAACCTTTGTTGTACGTGAAAAGCAAAATAAAACTTAAACCTTTAGAATATTCTTCCCAATGCTTCTATTATTTGTTGTTTTTAGGTTCAAGGTGATGGCCCAATGGACCGCTTAGTCTGTATAATTTCCAGTGAAATGTCTACCAGAAGCTGCCGTCACAGTGTGCATGTAATGTTCTCCATGGGACTGTTAACGTGTTTTTTTTTACTTAATGCAGCATTGTGTTATAGCTCAACTTTTTCTCTTTATCCCCGCCCCCCCCCCCTTCCAGGAAAAATAAATTGACAGATAAATAGATTTTAATAAGAAATAAAAATAGGCACTTACACTGATGTTATCTTACCAACGTTTAGATTGTAAAAAATTCGGTTTTGCCATCCAACACTTTCTAACGCCACTGCAGTTCAACAATAGCACTATTTAACTGTGGTGCAAATACTTCGTAATGAGAATGATTCAGATTTTATCCTTGTAAATATGCTTTTCATTAAAGGCGTTAAATGTACGACTTTTGATGCTAAACTTTCGATCAAGTGACACTATAAAAATGGCATCGCCCTAAGAATCAATTTCGCCAGGAAGGGTTTATAATTAACAACTAGCGGGTTACACTGAAAACCCTTTGTGGAGGTGTTGTATTGACTTCAGAATGGCAGTTTAAACCATTGACGCGGTTCCTCACTAACTGCACAGCGTCAAGACTGACCTTGTAATGGGTGAAAAAAAATGCAAAATAAATAAATAAATAAATAAATAAATAAATAAATGTTTTCGATGCATGTTCTTAATTTGTTTCATATTTAATTAATCCTCATAACGGAACGTCCAGTGGATAAAATAATAATATCAACTATGTATGTAAAAATTTGAAAAAAAAAATCTATCAGACATATATCAAAAGGACACTACCTTAAATTCCATTAATACCACTTAATACTATTACTTCTGGTGCAGCAAAGTTTTGACTTTTTTTAGCTTTTGAATATTTACTTGGTGTTCCATTAAAAATCACTGTCGAAAAGCACGAATCGCTTGATTCCTGCATTGCATACTTGGGGATGTATTTTTGTATTGAAAGCAACGTGGCTATAATAAAGTACATCGTTATAAACTTCATATGCTAGAGATTATATAATAAAGTGGTATTGAGAGAAATTTCATAACATTATAGTGGCCACTTTTTGAGAATCCTGAATGTAGTTTTTTTTCTATCCACCCGATGAAAACTTGCAAGTAAAATATTATATCATTTTGAATTAAATAAGAAGGAACTGCTAATTCGATTTCCCAGCTTTGACCATCAACTGGGTGTTCTTTCTTAAATTATGTGGCGTGGGTTATTTCTCAGCAAGAATTAAATCTTTACTCTTAATGTAACTGAATAAGAAAACAAAACAAAAACATTATACTTTAAGTGCATTCAGTATTTTAATATGAAATATTTATCTTTCTCGTTGGACGAAGGATCACAGTTTCAATACGATTGTATTCAAACTGCCACATTTGACGTAAAATATTCAGATCTAATTAGGTTGCAATATTTTTGTGCCTGCGATTTTATTACATATACATTGTACAGACATTGGAATAGCCCCCAATAGAAGCGTTGTAAGATAATAATTCTAAATATTTTATTAAACTTTATGACCCCGTGTGTGAGTGAGACGTGTTGTGACATGGGACCAACGTTTCCCTTCCACAGTGAAATCCTAGAAACACCAGCGCTTCTTCATTTTTTAATTGAAAAGTTCAACGAAGCCACAATGTTTACAGGCGCAGATGGTGGCCTGCCATTTTCCAGTTTCGTGAACATCCAATTACTTTGTCGTCCTGCATCTGAAAGCGTGTGGAAACTGTCGCGGTGTGATGGTTTTTATGTAATGAACCGCAAAAAATATCGCGTGAACAGTGTTTGGTCTGTGCCCGGAGATATATGTTCAGTTCTCGTGAAAGCTTCACCCCGGTCCACCTCACTTCATTACATCACCTAGCGGTCAATCCAGGGGAAACGGGCCTTTCTTCATTATTACAAAAAATGCTCTACATATCTGAACCATACAGATTGGGTAAACCGGCGACAGACCACACATCCCGTCTCCTGGGTCTTATTGCTGCTTTCTTAGTCAATAGAAATAGCAATATGACATTATCTCTTTTTTTTGCGATTACCGATAAATTCAACAAATGACACAGAGTTTCAGCTTTATTTGCAGCCATTCACCGTGAAATAAGATTTACCAACCATTCAGGTTGCCGTTTTTAATGAGAAGCTGTCCTGTATTGGCCTATCAGAATTGTTTCTGTTTTTATTCATTAATTGTCATGGCTAGTGAATACCGAGCCACGCTTGGTGGCCACCTTTTAACCCCTGTTGTTCGTGAAAGGCAAAATAGAATTTAAACCTTTGGCAAATACTTTTTACACCGAAACAAATATTTGCAATTTCTTCTCTTACTGTTATCATAATATGTGCTATTTTCAATGTAGCTAATTCCCAAGTGAAATATAAATAAGGTGTCTGGGCGTATTGCAATCTTAAGAAACCTAAAATGACTGAAATCGTTGAACT